AAAGAGAATTTATTACTGAATTCAATACAAAAACACAAAATTCAATTATTTGCAATACAAAAAAAGTTAAGCTATAATAGTTATCGATATGCATTAGATAGTGATGATTGCAGTGAGTTATCAGTACTTGGTACCCTTTATTTTTGATTACAGCTTCACATCGACGTTTCATTGAGCTGACAAGAGTTTTAAGCTCTTCTTTCGTTATTACATGATGCCAGGAAACAATTATAGCTTCAATCAGTTCCCTTTTATTTGATGGGCGTCTCATTCGGACAAGAGTTTTCAAACGGTGCCACAAATTTTCGATAGGATTGAGTCAGGCCTGTTTCCTGGCCATGACAACAATTTAATGCTCTTTGCACGAAACCACTCTTTTGATATATTGGCCGTGTGGCAAGGAGCAGAATTCTGCTGAAAAATAAACGAAGCATTGTTGGGAAAAAGATCTCTGATGGAAGGTAGAAATTTTGGTTCTAGAATAGTGTCATTGTATTTTCTGGCATTCAGTGTCCTATCGATGACATGAAGGCGACCAATACCATCTGCTGACATGCATGACCAAATCATAACACTAACTGGGTTCTTCACAGTTGCTTGAATGCAGCCAGGATTTAGTTCTTCTCCTATTCTACATCTTACATATTTTCGCCCATCACTACCGAACAACGATATCTTAGCTTCGTCACCCCATATAACTTGTGACCACTGATCATCTGTCCAATTAATGTGTTCCTTTGCCCACTGCAGTCTTTTTTTCGTTGCTGAAAATTAAGATAAGACTTTTTTCGTGGAATTCTACCTCTCAGTCCAACATCTGTTAATCTTCTCCTGATTGTTCTTGAACTGACAGAAACACCAGTTCAAGAAACTTAACATTTTCTATAAGCATACAAAGTTCAAAAACATAAAAATTTCCAACCACAATTTTGGCCACCACTGTATATATATATATATATATAACTTCCTTGAGAAAAATAAAGAATATATAAAAGATTAAATTAGCAACGTAAATTTCCCTTCTCTATTCTAAAAATAGTAACCCCTCTTTGCAGTGCGTCATTTCGTGAAAAAATCCATGTCATATGACTCTTACGTAATTCTGATGGTGTAAAAGGAGCTAAAACTCAACCAGACAATAGTAATTTTACAGCAATGATAACTATCCAATCAAAATGCTTTGAAAACCAAAAGTAACTTAGTCTGACTTGAGATTTCATCCTGAACATTATGCACTTGCTTTCCACGCTTTGGCCTAGGTGCACTGCTGTCTGTCTGTCTGCTGCTTTCTTTCTTATTGAAAATTTATCTAAAATGTAAAATCTCTTGGAATAGGCACAATTAATGTGCCAACTGGATTGCGGCCACATCATGTTTACTGCAATAAAATTTGAATTAAATATACTTTGACTGCCAAATTTCCTATTCATTGTGGATCGTCGTTTCTGCCTTTTAGAACATCAAAATTCCTCCTCCTGCTCTTCAGTTACTTCTGACTTTGTTTTTATATATATACATGTTTATATATTTATATTTGTATATATATATATACAAATGTTTATATATGTTTGCTGTGGCCGATTGCAACCAAAATACGAGGTGCACATTTACATGTTATGGCAGTCCTATGTACAATTTTAACTTTCTAAGGCTACTCGTTGAGTTATGCGAGATACATACATACATACATACGTACGTACGTACAGACGCCATGAAAAAAATATGTTCAGACCAGTTATATGTATTTTTTGGGGGAAACGAGTCCTTTATTCTATAGTTACGTACAGATGTCACGCTAAAACATCGTTAAATAGCATTCGATAGCGGTCAAAATGGATATTTTCGTCGAAATATGATACCCGAAATTTTTCGCAATTGCAATACTTCCTAAAAAGGTCTTCAAACGTTTGATGAATATTCTTTTTGGGAATTTAAAGGGTCAAAATAACTGTTGTAATTCATTGAAGATTAAAACCAAGTGCATAAACCACATTTGGCCTTCTTGTCGTTTATTATAATAAATATGCCAAATTTCAAAACGCTCCAATAATATAATTTCACGGGCGTCTTTTAAAATTTTGGGGAAAAAAATATTTTTTGCACGTAAGAAAGCCTATAAATACATCTGCTTTAAGACGATGGCAAGAATTTTTATAGGTTATAATTAAAAATGTTTTCTGAAAAATTTATAAAAATTATTTAAAAATACAAATTTAAAAAAAAACTTATAAAAAATGAGCGTATTTTATTTGGATTGAAGCTAAATTTTGTATTCTGAAGGAAGGAATCAAGTACGTTTAATAAAAAAGCGGTATTAATATTCCAAATTTAATTAACATACCTCTGCAATTTTTACGAAACTTCACACTTTGGCACAATTTGAAGCAAGAAATCGAAACAGAGAAAAAAAACTGTATGTCATTTCAGATGAAGTCCGATTTTATGTCAACATACCTACATTAGAACACAGTTATGTATAAATATAATATATATACGAAGTCACGCTTTCAAGACATGAAAAACGCAACGTTAATTTCATTAATCAGCCCAGTTGAATTGGAGATACAGAACTGCCCCTCTCCTTTTTTTAGATACGTTATTCATACATAAAGATAGACTTTGATAAAAAGAATCTTTTGAGCTCAGGAAACCCCCAAAATGGAAATTCTCCATACTAAAAAAAAATCTCAATTTTTGTACGATCACAATACTTTCTCTATAATAGTGTCTAGTGACTAGTAAGAAAATAACAAATAAAGAATTATTTCATTTTACAAACATAAATTCTCTATTTACCATAAAATAAAATAATAAGAGCACAAAAACCTTCATAACACATTCAAGTCGTATGAATAGCGTGATGGATGAAAAATTATGTTAAAAATCTGCCGCCCTGGACAAAATACTTCAAATTAAAATCACTGGTATCAATTTCGATGATTTAAATCCTGTGTAAGAATAATTTTCGTCCACTAGCTAATTTATGGATAAAACGCGTCGTGTGCATGGAACAAATTGCATGCACAAACGCAGTGGCTTCCCCGTCATCGTTTTTTATGATTCCAACAGCACAAAAATGATATATACTCCCTGCCGCCCTGGGCATTTTCCCTGTTTGCCCTCCTCTCTAAATCGGACCTGTCAACCTGTTCCATAGAAAGTGAAATTTTTTTGTCCCTATCTGAGAGCTGATACCCGGTGCGGACTGTACTCTCCACATCCACCTACTTACGCTACTGACCACTAGTTTTCGATATTCATCACATACATATCGATCCAAGCTTTTTCAAGAACAATTTTAAGGGACACGTTGAGTGTTATTGAGTATTGACATAGTTTTCGCATAAAATGTCCTAGACATCAATATTATTATGAAACCTCCACTGACTTGAAGTCACTGATTTAAGGCATAGTGCTTTATTGGGTTAAAATTTGACCCTGTCTATATTGTATCACCGAATAATTTACATAAGAATGTTTGTATAATTGTTTCAAGAATAGCGTTAATTCCATGAGATTTTTCCCCACTGTCGGATTTCGATTAAGTTCTGCAGAGAGAAGGTTTACCAATTCATTTTATACTAAAATCATTATCTTACTGTTTTAACTTCTGTTTTATTTTTGCATTTGCCTACGTTATATGTTATTCAACTGAACGCAGCCAGATGACATAGCAAGCAAACTATAGATTTCTTTGAAGGCAGTTAAACGTAAAACGTCAATTAATGATTAAAAAAAAAAAAAAGAAAGAAAGAAAGAAATGCAAAATTTGGCAGGGAAAAAACGGACAACGGGAAAAAACGGAAACAAAAACACCATGCATTTACAAGCATGTAAAAAGGAAAAAAATGCTTACTGTGAGATTCGAAAGCGAGCACATGGCTATGGCAATGATGCCACCATGCCAAAAGGCCGATCTCAGATGTATTTATTAGGGAGAAGAATATTTTTAGACTAATATTTTGTGATTTTTTTAAATTTTTTTGTTCAATGGTAAAATACTTGGACAAACACATATCTTTCTTATAATTGTTGTTTGTATCTATCTATTTATCTACACTAGCCATGGCCAAGTGATTGCCGTTATATTTAAGTATTAAAAATAATTACTTTTCTAAGTTTTTTTCCTCTTATCGTTTTTAAACAGCATAAAACGGTAATATGTAATGGGTAATTCGAACAAAGAAAATAAATAACAGCCGATCTAATGTATGTTATTACGTTAATTAATAATTACATTAATATTTAAATATGTTAATCAAGACCTTCTAATTTCATAGAAACATGCGAGAAAATTGCATTACTTTAGCAACATTATTGTTTTCTTCTGTATTTTTATGAACGACCATTTAGTATGAAGTCTTTTTAAAACTTTTAAAATGTATAGCATAGGTTACATTTTACATATATGTTGATAAATTAAAGATTTATTTTTCATTTATAGATAATCTAGATATCCTGATAAATTGCCTGAAGGCTATGGTTCTAATTATATTATTATAACATTATAATTACGCATTGATGTCAAATGTTTTTCAAGCTATCTAGGTTGAATTCGGGTTATGTATTTTTAAACAGAGATTCTCACTATAGTGTGTTACTTTCAAATAGGTATTTCAAGGCCTTTTCGACTTCCCCCATTTACGATCGTAACGTATGTCATTATCACTGCTCAGCACTTATTTAACAATTCATTTGAGAATGTAGTTCAGGTTTCATTCATGCGTTTTCTTACGAAACGAAGCACTCTAAACATAAACAAACTAAGAAAGAAAAACAGTTAAGGGATAACGCTCTGCTTCAGTTGCCGCTATCATAATTACGAATCAAAGTGGGCGGGAAAAATGCCTTGAAATGCCTACACTAAAGTAATAGTCATAATAGGCTAAACTATTGAAAGCAGAATTTTTTCCCTCGTATATTCTCATTAAATTTGAACTTGCAATTTTAAATTATTATAAAGGTTATTTTTTCTCTAAAGACATCACAATCAATTATAGGTAATAGTGCACCTTCTACTTTGAGATGGGATCCAATATTCCAACTGATGTTTCAGCATTCATACCTTTAGAGTTCAAGTTTCTGACAGAACAAATGATTCGTAAAGCAGAAGAAGAGCTCGGAGAGACAGAGAAAAGACGAAAAGAATGCCTGGAGGAATTTAAAAATATGATCAAAAGTAAAATTTTATAAATAAATTTACATTTGAACATGATAGTCTGATAGATGATATGCGCCAAATATTTTAATTTAAAAACTACAAACAGTGTGCATTTTTACAAAAGTGATATTCCAGTATATTTCAACCTATTGATAGCAAAATTTTTATAGTATTATCTTAAGAATTATGCATAAACTGATGACAAGATTCTTATAGAATTATGCATTAATTTGAATTAAAATCTGAGCGTGCAATGAATTCTTTTTAAAATTTCGAATGCTATTAAAACAACATATTACATTCAAATACTTTCAAAATTCTTTCATGCATAGATATACTCTTCTAACCTCATGAATGATGAAAGGTCCCTCTTTTCTCCTTTTCATTATAAATAGAATTTCATGGTTGCGAATCTCCTGTTCAATATCTTCAGTCCGAATAGATAACATTGAAATAATGTATAAGATTATTTACATTCATTCAAGTTCCTTTTAAAAAATTTGACTTAGACTTTGACTTTCAAAATTGTGACTTTCGTCTTTCAAAATTTTGACTCTCATTTTTTCTTTATTAGCAGTTTCATGATTTTGTATTTTAGTCATATATAATCAAGAATTGTGAAATAGCTTAAAAATTATTTTTTTCATTCTTATTGAATTTTATTCAAATTATATAACTTAATTATACATATATATGCTTACTTGCCTAAACATGCAGTCCATTTCTATTTCAAATAAAATAAAAATAATGACTTTGTTAATACGCGTTCAAACTAAATACATAACTGCCATTTTAGTTTTACTGAACTCAAAATTACACAAAAGAATATTACCATGGTGTCCGCCGAAAACATCACCGACGGAAACGTCGCGAAGAAAACAACGCAAGGCGAAAACGTCATGGTACAAAACATCATGGAAGAAAAGAAAAGCAAAGAGAAAACATCGCATTTCTAAAACATCGTGGTGCAAAATATCTTGGTCGAAAGTAAAACGGTTCAAAAACATCGTCGTCGAAAATATCGTGCTAAAAAATGAAGTACCTACAAATCATCGCATAACAATAACATCGCACACAATGAGTTTTCAGGTTCTAAAAGTTGTAAATGCATGTTCGCATGATGATTTGGGAGCGCAAGAAGGAAAGAGGGATTCTTTTGCTTCTATATTTTAGATTTTTGAATGAACTAATAATTCTTTGCTGAAAAATAAGAAGGAAACTTAAGAATTTAAAAATGGAAAATGCGTACAAAATTAATGCAACTTATAGAACTTAATAGAATTTTTAATTTACATAGTTAATTAACAAAGGTCATTAATAAATCAACCTCTTTTTTTAAAGTTTTATTGCTAATGTTTTTATGAGAAATACAGTCTGAAAATGCTTAAGAAAGGGAGAATAAATAACTGCATGACGTTAACCCTATATAAATTGCTTAGTTAATTATCAAATTATTTTCTTTCACATTTCTTAATGCGATATTGTTTTAGTGAAAATTTATATTTTGTTTTGTTTCCGTATATTCTTAAAGTGTCGTTGACATTTTCATGTATAGCCTAAAATCAATTTTTTGGATGTCGATTTGTTAGTTATGACGAAAGTCAGTTACATGATTGAAAAACGCATGTGTGCGATGATTTGTAGGTACTTTATTTTTTACTACGATATTTTCGACGACGATGTTTTTAAACTGCGAAGTTTTTTAACCGCTTTATTTTCGACTACGATATTTTGTATCTTGATGTTTTAGAAGTGCTATGTTTTCTCTTCGCTTTCTTTTCTCCTATGATGTTTTGTATCAACACGTTTTCGCCTTGCGTTGTTTTCTCCGCGATGTTTTCGTCCGCGATGTTTTTGCTGCAATTTTTTTGCTATAACTATCACCATTATTTGCGTAAAACAAAATGAAGGACCTCTTTTTCTTATCCTGCACTCTTACTAGCTATATTGCACTCACCATCTGCATTTGCCGCACAACTCACTGCACCTGTCTGCATGATTCAATTTAATGCCATTGCTTATCACTCCACAATTTTTATGATGAACGCCTACTTTAAATATCATAAGTATTAAGATATGCTTGATCACGCAGCTGAATTTTCTTCGCCCACGGGTGTTGGTACTTCCCTAGCACCATTTATTTAAAAATATCTTTGCCTAGTGCACTTTAATGCGATCTACTGGCGAAAACTCTTTAATAGTTAATGACCAGAAAAAAGTTAGTTATAAGTCATAAGTCAATTAACTAAGTCTAAACTGTGTTAAATTCTTATGTCTTTTTTGTTTGTTTGTTTGTTTTTTGTTTTTGTTTTTGTTTGTTGTTGCTGTTGTATATGTTATAACTATGTAATGACTCTTAAAGTCAAAAATCAAAAGTTAATATTCATATGATCACTACTGTTCTGGTGCATAACTGCTTATTTTATACACTTTATGAGCTGAATATTTACTAAATGATATTTGAGGACATATCATTAAAAAGGATATAGGGTAAGGTTGCGCAAGTCGCACCGTTCAAAATTAGACGTAATATCACACCAGCTGCGCTTATTCCGGCAAAACGAGTTACCTCCTAGTCAACCAAATTGTTTCACATTGTGTTCGTCTCTCTGTAATATTTGTGAGGAAGGTCAAGAAGAGATTATGATCCATTGCCTGAAATCCAAAGGATGGGTACACGACTTATGTGTTGGAGTTGACAAGAAAATGGAAAAAAAAATGTCTTTGTGATCGTTGATGTAATTATATGTATAAATAAATTACTTAAGATAAAGAAAGTTTTATTCCAATTGTCTAATTTTAAGCGTAGTACGACTTAAGGTTCAGGTGGTATGACTTGCAATACTGATTGTTTGAGTAATATCAAGTTCGTGTTCATAACTTTTTTTTAAATTTTATCCAAGAGAGTAAGACTATATAGAATTTTATTGTAATAAATATCAGTAACTATAACATAAGATATTATTACCATACAAAATTTTTATTTTTTTTCCTAAATCCTACGATTTATAGAGATTTTTTCTTAGGGTAAACGACTTACGCAGCATTACCCTGCATAATCGAAGTGTTATGTGATAACATATTATCGATATGCGATAACATGATATTGAATAAAGAGATATGCATGTGTATTACAAGTTTGTTTATATTATAAGGCAAGTGGATAAATATATTTTACACAATCACTTAAATTACTTTAATGTATTGTAAATAACATACATTTTTTATACTATGTTTTACCACTTTATATCACTTATAGCAAATAAAAGAATTAAAAACTCATAAATAAACTAACAAGCTTATATTTGCGTGACATTAATAGAAAAACAAAGTTAATACGAATAGTTGAAGTTCTGGTTTATTGATTTTTTATTTTGCTAGAGAAAATGATGGTTTTGACATCGAACTTATCTTCGAAAACAGTTTTCATGGCTACAATCGTGTTTTGTAGTTAAAACTAATTATAATTTCTTCGTTTCTGGAACCGAATTTCTCAAGTATTTCTGAAGTAAAAAACGTACGTTCCCTGCACTGACTCTGAAATTTTTACTCGATTACTGGCATAATAATTTTTCAAATATTTTTCTTGATCTAAAACTTATCAATATCCTTTAGTTAATAGTCTTCAAATGCTAACGAGTACTTTTATTACAGGGGAAAAGAATTTGAATGCCAATACATGTGACGAATTCCTCTTGATATTTTTGAGAGGAAAAAAATTCAGACTTGAAGCAGCATTTAAAGTTCTGAAGAAATATTATTTAAATAGAAAGACTTATTCAAGTTTGTACCAGAAATTTTCTCCTGAACACTGCAGGGAAGCTTTACTGGCAAACTTTTTGAACTTTCTACCCTTAAGAACACCTGAAGGAGAATCAGTCTGGGTGCCAAGAATAGGCAAATAATCTTCATGCATTACTTTGATAAATGCTTTTATTGTAATTGTCTTTATGCATTGTTTCTTAAATACACGCTTTATTTTTAATAACTGTAATACATAATTTAAATACATACTTTAAATTAATCATTGTAATAGCGTTATCACTTATCTATCTAAGTATTTCTTAGCCAAAGTGGTAGTCTTTATATTGCATTCCGAAAATATTTGTATTATAAATAATTAGCTGAAAAGCAAAAAATACAAAGGAGCAGAAAGAAAGGAAAAAAAGGGATAATATGAAAATCTCTTCTTCAAATTTCAGTCGATAAAAGTTTTTTAAAGAAGTATATGACAGATCTGCACATTTTGTAAATTTATTACATGCACTTGCTATGTTAAACAGTTAAAGTACAATAAATAATCTACAGGAACAGAAAAAAATTACAGTTATTTTAATAACCTTCAAACAGCCGAATGGAAATGACACTATTTATCTTAGTTTCACTCAGCTAGTGCTAAAAAAATAGTAATAAATGTAACATGATAACTGTGTTTTTGAGATTTAATAAAATGACTATTTGAAGATTAGTCAAAAAAAAGATAGCATAACAATAGATCCTTTCATAATTAAAAAGGATATAGATCATCTTTGACTAAAGTCTCTAAAATTTGAAGCAGATCAGGATTAGATTTTCATTTCTCTGATATCTTTTAACAAACTTTCCATGTAATCTTGCTTCTGCTTGAAATTGATTTGAATATTTATTTTTTAATTTATTATATTTTGCTACTTAATTGCTTACGAATAATTAAAAATACTTTTAATTATTATTTATTAAAATCCCTAGGAATATTTTACATCAATTTTTTTAATTAATATTCTTTTTCTTACACCTTTATTTTTCGGATCGGAGAATGCACTCAAGTTTATATTCTACACAGTAATATTCTAATCTTATTTTTAGGTAACCACACCTTACGAATAACTTGCTCTTTGAAAATTTCGCAGTAACGGGCACTGTACACCTTTTAAAGGCTTGAAAATTTCTCTCGTCAAACAACAACGGGCCAAGATTGAAGTCAGGATTAAACCACACTACATAGTCATGTAATCAGAATGCGTAGATTGCTCATGCATAATATTGGAAACTGCAGTATCTCGTATTCGACAATTCTGAATATTCCTTTGCTTCGTTTAGGGCAAAATGCACTTCATCTGACCACAAAATATTCCAAAGACATGAATTATCAACAGCTTGCCCAAAACCAGCAAAGATAATCAAAATGCGTTGATGTGGGTCTTGACATGTAGCTTTCGCTCTATGTAGATCTTGTAAGGATAACACATTAAAACGGATTGCAGAGTCTGTCATACCGTAGACCATGGAATAGACAAATCGGGAGACACTGATCGAGCACATGTCAAAGAATATGGGAAAGAGCAAAGAAATAACGACTTCCTTCCTCGCAATCTCGTTTGAAATCTATTTCCTTTCTATTCCTGGAAGCACACTTAACGCCCAATTTGATAAAAATCTCTCATCATTCTCGCAGTTCAGCTAACTTATTACTGCAATTCTGATAAAACAACTTGATCAGTAAACTTTAATCTTTCTTCTCTCACTGAATACCGTTAGTTTAAAGACCTCCTAATTTGCCTAACGTCCTTTCTATATTACATGAAGAACGTCATCTCATGGTTGATATGTGAAAGAAATGTATTATTTACTGCAGCTATCTTTTCTCCGTATCCATATAATGTACATCCAAGTTTCAATAAAACATGTAATTATAACGGTTTCTACATAGGTCTGAATAGGGTCACGTTAATTATAACCACACCACCCTAGGTGACTATCGCTAATTATGACGACTATATCAAGTAAGAAAAAAATAAGATTGCATTGCGTTATTTCTCAGTTTAACAAAGGACTTCATTATCTCAACAGAAAGTAAAAGACTGATTTACATTACAGTAAATTCACAATTAACTGAACTTCACGTAACAAAAACTTGGCATAGTGTAAGTAACTGGGAAAAATAATTTTGAATAAGTAAGATCGAAAATAAGTCATTTTCATTTTTTTTAATTAGTTTTTTTTTTTTTTTTTTTTTTTTTTTTTTTTTTGTGCTGCGTTATTTCGAGATATTTAAGATAAATAGGAGCGTAATTTTAAAATACAGTCTTAAGTTTTTAAATATAGAAGTATTAGAATATTCGAAATATTTAAACTGATGCATTTATAACATAGAAAGTAAACTTCTGTGTTAAATTTATGAAATATTACTTTGCTTGCGTTTGCTTTTACGTTTGTTTTTTATTGTAAAAAACGCTTCTAAGACACACAATAATTTTTCTGTTTTATTAGCGAATTTAACAACATTAATCCTTTTATTCCTTATTTTAGGTTCTTGGGATACTAAAATATTTACTCCTGAAGAAATTACCAGAGTTGGTTTAATCTGCCTGGAAATGGAGATGAAAAATCCAGTAACTCAAATTTGTGGCATGGTTGTTCTCCTAGATCTCAAAGGGTTTTCTTGTTCTCATATGTTCCAAATTACCTCGACTTCTTTAATGTGTTTCATGAATACTGTTCAGGTGGGATAGGTTTCTTTTATCTGAAACTACGTGTAGCATTTTCTTTAGTTGTAAAAAGAAGCTACGCATAAAATAATGTCTAGTAAATATATGAAAATTACACGAGTTTAAGTAATGTTAATGTCAGTAAAATTACATAACCGGTTGCCAAAATAAATGTAGAATATACCAGACTTAAAGGCAGTTTATGAAACATTTCTGAGGTTAGACAGAAATGAAAAATTTGTAAATGGAAATATTTATAATTACAAAGAGTTACGAAAGCAATATATCAAGTAGCGAAAACTGGCATGACATGTTTCACTGCAATGCCAAAAACATTTAATTTACAAAAAATTGATTTTGTACCAATAATATATTGCATTTTTTATGTTAAAATCATAGATGAAATTTTTAAGCTTTGAAATGATACAAAAAAAATGCAACAAACTCTGCCTCACATTTAATGTGCAATAAAACTTCGTGTTCGTATAAATAGTTATTATCATACTGAAGTGCACGGGTAATAAATATGACAATCGATACATTAACGGACACTAGAAACTTGCTTTATCTAATTCTCTTTTTATATTAAATAATATTTCTAGAATCCCTTTTGAAATACAGTGTTACAGTAACTTCTTAAATGATTGACCTCTTTAGGTTGATAACCAATGCATTTTTAAAATATCGAAGGTAAATAAACTACTTTATGCAGCATCGATTAACAATAAAACGTGTTCTTGAGTTTCTGATCTTTATTTCTAACGGACAGTATTTTATCGGTAACTGCACAAATTAAATATAATAACACATTTTCGTGAAATTCACAAGAAAAAAATAAAACTGATTTATTTTTAATAAAAATTTAAAAAATATTTAAAGATAAAAATTAGATAATAAATGAAATAAACAATTAAGTATGAACTACGTAACTAGTACTATGAATAAATAAATAGTATTTTAGAATTTATAAAAACAGAAATGCACAAACTCTAAGGTCGCATCACCAAGGTAGATATTAATTTTTTGACTATATAAAAATGCTGTATGGTCTTATTTTACATGAAATTTCATTTCGCAGAATCCGATTGCTATGCAAATCATATGAAATCACTAGCGGGCAACGGCCAAAGTAATATGTATAAGTTCTATATAATGAAAAACTGAAACTAAAATGAACTATTAATTTAATGTACTATACACAAAATTGCTAGCTGCGACCAAAGCAAAATTTATGAATTCTATGTACACCTGAAAAGAAAGTGCAGAAAAACATTTCAATATGAATGAAGTCAGTTCGTGCTTTCCAAGCAACAACCATTTCGTAAATGATTTTTTGTTGCTAAACCAGGAAGAGAAATCTTTGGACATTTCAGGTTAATATGTATCATGATTAATATTTAATGTAATATAACAACTTTTTCTCAATATCAATAAAAGAATTAATGGGGCAATAACATACCGTGTCGAATGCCATATCTTGTTAATCTGAAGCAAAACAGTTGCCCAAAACAGCTATGTATTTAAAATGCTGTCATTAACGAAACTTTTTCGACATACAGTGACATCACATGAAATCGAGTGCTTTCTTCAACATCAGAACATGACCTTACATAATAATAATATGTTTAATGTTTAGCAATGCGATTTTTATGTCATGTTTTGTAAAACTTAACAATTTTTTACTGACAAATTATATGATTTGAAAATGAGCAGTGACAACACTTATCAAAATAAAGCAATTATATCCAGCGTGCGAGACTGTTGCCACTCGTAAACATGAGAGTGCATAAATTAGAGTTTTTAGAGTTTTTAATTAATATCTCGGTTCATTAATGTCGTACTAGGATGGGATGGTCGAAATGGCTTCACACGAGTTGTTGAAATCCGGGGGGGGGTACCTCTCTCGAAATTCAACTACCGGCCATTCCGGAGGAGATAATGCCACAAATAGACAGACGCGAACAGATTTTAATACCATACATAAATGAAAATAATTTTCCATTATTGATATTGTGGATATTGTTTCTGATGTACAGGGTGTTTATAAAGTCCCGGACCCATTTTGATGTTTAATAACTCATAAAATAATAAATATAGATTAAAATTAATAACATAAATGGTTAGACAGACTCAAAAAGTTTCATGACCCTTGTCAATGAACTTCCACGTGTGGCCCCCTTCGTCGCCCGGAGAATATCAATTTCAGGGCAGGTACCGGCAAGCATGTCGACATCCACAGAGGCTATTGCGGTTGTAATTCTGGCTTTTAGGTCATCAATGTTCGACACTCTTCTCCTGTAAACATTTCCCTTTACAAATCCCCAAAGTAAAAAGTCCAGCGGCATTATATCAGATGATCTGGGTGGCCAAGGAATTGGACCACCTCGCCCAATCCATTTTCCTGTAAAATGGTCATTTAAAGAGCTACGATCGATGGTACCCCAATGAAGTGGAGCACCATCTTGCTGCAAAAAGACATGTGGCTGAAACTCTTCTAGTTGTGGAAATACGAAGTTTTCCAACATGTCTAAGTATACGACTTATGAGACCGTCTTTTCTGTAAAAATGAAAGGCCAGTGACTCGGTCGTGCATTAGTCCACACCACACATTAACCTTTGGGGAATCCCTTTGTGCCTCACGATATTCATGGGGTTTTCAGATCCTCATATGCGCACATTATGGCGATTAACAATGCCAGAAAGATGAAAGGATGCTTCGTCAGAGAACATTATGCGTTTCAAAAATTCAGCATCATCTTCTATCCTCCTTAGCATATCTGTTGCAAAGGCCATCCTCCTAGGCCTATCGTCCGGTTCCAAAACTTGAACAATTTGAACTTTGTATGCATGCAGTCTTAATTTTTTCTTAATAACCTTGTACACCATCGAAATTGGCATATCCAATTCTCTTGCCGCTGATCTCACAGATCTTCTAGGACTGTGTAAAAATGTGTCTTTGACACGCTCAACATCAAAATCACTTGTGCAGGGACGTCCGGAACGTTTCTTATCTGCGATATTTCCAGTTTCTAGAAAATTCTTTTTCCACCGCAAAATACTGCTTTTGGATGGAGGATCTTTTTGGTAAATTCTTCTGCAATTTCTCTGTGTTTTCATTATAGATTTCGTTTCTATGAACCACCATAGAATCTGTGCTTTGTCTTGTGGTGTATGCATTCTCCTTAATATCCGGTCGAATAAAACATCACATAGAAAAGTACTAGAACAAACACATCAAAAGTAAACATAACATTGCAATAGTTTCCAAAAAAAGAAAGAAAAATGCAATTAATAAGCAGACGATATTTAGAAAAGTAGAGATATTTAGACTGGAAAATGAAATTATCTGAAATTAACCACACGCGCAGACGATATTTACAAAACTAAAGATATTCAATCCTGAAAAGGAAAATATATATGTTATTCCATCAATAAATGCCATAAGTTTGTTTATATCTTCATTATTTTATGAGTTATTAAACATCAAAATGTGTCCGGGACTTTATAAACACCCTGTATAATAGTTTTATCTGCGTAATTAAATGGTTTTAATGCTTAATATTTTTTAAGTATGAAAACTTTGCAAAACTGATTACTTTTATGATTTTATGGTCTTTTTCCATGCATTACAGAAATTACTACTAGATTGAATGTGAAGATAATATAAAAAACCAAATCTATGCTTTTCCATTTTATATAATTTTTCTATAATTAGAATTTCTTTATAATTAACGTTTTTAAATTATAATTTACTAGCTATTCATTAACAATCAATAGCCGTTCAAGAATCTCTAAAGTGAACGTAAATAAATTAATATTATTTTTCCTGCAAATATAATACAATGTTTGTATAGCTTCCCCTCAGAACTGAATAAAAAAGTAAGTTTAATAATCCATACCTTCCTAATAGGATGGCTTACCACTGCGTCTTACGGCACTGCATGTTATTAATAACCCCAGTATATTTGGTGCAGTATTCAAAACCGTGAAGCCCCTTTTAAATGCAAAAATAAAAAAGAGGGTAAGTACTTGCGTTTCCTTTCTTTAAAATGAATGTTCGATGTAATATAATTCTATTATTTCTTTCAATTTGACGTTGTTATTTTCAACAAACTTTTACATTAAAGTCACGTAATTCATTAAAGTCACGTAATATAAGCGCAATAATGTAATCGATATCTAATAAGCCATTCTGAAAATTTGTGAGGGCGTTAAAAATAGAACCAGATTTTATTTGTTTGAAAGTTTAGTATTATTATTTTATAACACAAAATTATGTTATACATCGCCTGAGAAGGAATAGGAGACAGTTTATACTCATGTTGTTCTAATGTTCACTTTTCTTACTGCTAGATGGATCAAATACGCAAGATGTCTGTGTACAGTTCTGTTACCTTCCATAGTCTCCAGAAGACTCAAAGTGTTATTATTTATTAAATTCAAAAATTATTGGTCACTAAATTTAACTATCATTATTTGTTGCAATTATTAATTAAATTACAAATTATAGAAATTTTGTTATTACATATTGGTTATAAAAAATATATTGTTAAATGAAATTTTAAAATATTTATATTATTCTGCAAAAATAAAATAAAAGGAAAAAGCATGAAAGCCGGGACTGTGAGTACAAATATACATGCGGCATTCGAATTCATTTATTTAGATTAATCGCATGCAGTAAATGGCGGCAGTCCGCGATGAAGAAATAATAGTTTCCACGTTCCTCTGAGTTTCCCCGTTAACACCCAGTACAGCAGATTTCTAACTCTAGTAACTAAAAAGTTATCGCTGAAAAGTTACCAGGAGCTGTGGCTCCAAGAAATAGTTCAACGCAGTATTTTTTTAAATATTAACATGGAAGTATTTGTTAAAATATTAACATGGAAAGGTGAAAAAAGAGCTTACACGCGAAATAAAATATAGAACATAAAACTGTTAAAATCTATTGTTGGAAACATGTGAATGCACAAAAAAGAGCAAAACTTATCGATGTGGTATGTGAAAAGTTAACACATATAAAAAACTGATCGACGGAACAAGTTAAAATAAAATTGAAACATAATAATTAAAACATAAATTGCAAAAATTATAAAAATTATAAAAATTACAAAGCGGAAAATGGTAAATTAGCCCAATTGGACCTCCAACTAGGCTTTTCAAGGAAAATTTAGTTGAATGTCGAACTAAGCTACCACCATTACGCTTTTCGCCGAAACAGACAATTGAAGCTCTTGTTTGACGAAAAAAAAAAAATTTTTTTTTAAATAATATGAATTGTCCCGAAAAAATCTTTTGGAGCTTCAATTCTCTGTTCCAATTTCCCGACGCGTCCGCAGAAAAACACATTAAGGTGTAAGATAAAGTAAATGCAACTCCGAACAAAACAAAATTAAAATAAAATAAATAGCGGTCTGCTATTAGTCAAATTATACAATAACGTACGGCCTGGTCCTGCTAGCTTAAAGAATAAAACCTTTATAAATATTATGGTTCTGAAATCAAATTCTAATGAAATTAAATACTAATGAAAACAAACGCCGTGGGTCTTGTTAAGACCAAGAAAAAGATTAAAAAAAAAAAAAAACATAAAAAACAGACCTGTGGCTGAGCCGTCCTTTTGATCGCGAAACACTTTTGAAAAGAGGTGTAATCCCCTCCGCATCTTACAAAGCCATCCCTTTCGTCGTGTGACGTAGGCGGGTGAAACAATGTCATTTCGTATCAGCCAATGCGCTAGATTGTACTTTGGCGGGAACTCGTATCCCCCCGTGTTAAAGAGGGGTTGAAAGACTCGGAAAGACATGGAAAGAATTCAAAATGGCGTCAGTCAAGTTGTTAGAAAAAAAACAGTTTCAAAATGTGAAAATGGCTAATTCAGCAAAGATTACTCAACATGGCCACAAAAGTAAAAGTAAAATGGAAAAAAAGTCATTTGTTAATAAAAGTCGTAATTCTTCAAGCTAGAGGGCGATCAAGCTACAATGAAAAATGAAAAGGCCTGATTTGTTAATAAAAGTAGAATTTTGGCCATCTAAGTAATTCTAAACTATTAAAACAATAGTATTAAAGTATTGTGCCAAAATCTTGTAGGAAAGAAAAAGTAGTGGCAAGAATTATCTGTACCTTTTTACGTTAGATTTTCTGAATCACCATCCACTTTATACCGTCCCATTGGGCTTTAAGTATAAAACTTCATTATCTAAATCAAATTATCTAAAAACTGGTAAGGCTAATGCCAGCTTTTTTAAGGTATTTTTAATTATTTTATGAGGAATTAGGTTATTTTTCAAAATTGTCACGAAGTAAAGTATTTCTACTTGAAGGTGTTCTGTTGCTAAGTAGCTGTGAAAAAATTGTGTTTATTATGATTCTTTTTATGATATATATATATAAAGTGTAAGATAAAAAATATATAAATATCAAGACTATAATTTAAACTAGCAATAGCCTTTAGGAATATGTAAGATAAAAATTATGTAAATCTCAAAATTAAAATTTAAACCCTTAATTCACCCTCTCTATTTTAAAAATAGCAATAACTTTTCTGGACTGCGTCATTTCTAGGTCAGTCTATGTCACATGGCTTGCATAACGCTCATGACGTAGCTAATTCGGAACCTAAACTCAAAATTTCGAGAACTGAAATCTTTCTTTTTATAGGCTACCATATTTAATAATTGCGAAAGTTTGCTTTTAGCTCTTTTATTGCTGCTAAGACGCTGGTGTACTGCTTCTTTTCCTGTCACAATATCATCAAAAATGTAAATTTTCTTTAATGGTCATGATTAGAGTGCCAAATAAATTGTGGCTGCAGATGTCAATCGAAATAAATTTGAATATTTAATATGTCAATCGAAATAAATCTGAATATTTATTAATACTGCATTTACTTTAACTGGATTTGGAGGCGGTTATAGTTCATTCTACACCCTCGAAAAGAAAGCTCTAAAACCAATTGCTGAAGTTCTATAGATGTAAAAAACAAAAAAGAAATAATTTTTAATCACCAAAGGGGCAAACCTTCTCTAGGATTTGCTGCAAAAAGTATAAAACATTTATAAAATGTATTTTTAGGTTTCTAAAAGAATGTTTTCTGTATATTGCTACCGTTCTAGACATTTTAGAAATTAACTGTAGGCATGATTTCATTATTGAAACTTTGGTCTTTTTTTTTTTTTTTTTTTTTTTTTTTTTTTTACATTTAGTCTCACAGGTTCATTGCTGCACTCATTTATTGATAGATTTTCTTTTAAATTTTGAATTTTACTTTTGTTTATTTTTATGCTTAATTTCTGTGTTAAATGCACTGTGTTAAAGTAAAACTTCATTCTGAATGAATAAAATGCATACGTTTTTATAATTTAAGTAAATAAATGTCATTTACGAATCTAGTAGATGCATTACGCCCGATAGAGGATTACTTTTCATTTATTTATAACGTGCTCTACCATTAATCACTACACGGCAAGCAAGAGATGCCCCGTAGAGGACTTTTTAAGGAAAACTAGTTCGTATTTACATTACACATGGCTCAAACCACGAAAACGTCCTTGCAATCTGCCTGTTCTTAGGCACTCAACCCCGGACCCAACTACCAGTGTTCAGCGGCTTTTATCACTCGGCTGCTGGTAGGTCCCAATAGAAGGATTAAGAATTTTTTATAGCATTTTTAGATCCAGAACATACTTGCACGACTTTCGGCGTGAAAAACATTGCAGACTGTTTTTTTAAGTTAATTATAATCGAATTCCTTGCGCTTTATTTATGTTATCTTATATATATTCACTTAATGCAAGTTGCTGCCACCTGTATTTTAACGTGCAATCAACTTGAATGCAGTCTAAAACTTAGAGAAACATAAATTTAGAATTTTAATTCTAAACTGTATCTTTATTTATGATATAGGTACATATATAATATGGTTTAGATATTTTTAATACCATTTAACAGACAAGTTAAATTAACAGAGTTTATCCAAGAAGATATTAACTGAGAAATCTGATTTTTGAGATTTTAAAACAATATGAAAGTCCAAGCGAAATTACAGTAGACCAAGTAAGACGAAAAATCCTCAACTCATCAGCTGAACAGAATTTCTCTGAAAGCGAATTAAAAGTTTCATCAAATAATTTTTAAAAAAATCTTATGTGTACACCACATGACTTCCTTGTACGGAATATTATATTATACGCATTTTTTGATGCATTTCATTTAAACTTATTTTCTCGAATTTCATTAGAGATAGATATCTCATTCAATTAATTCAGTTCTTAAAATTCGAGGCAAGGCAAAAATACATTAAACCTCAAAATATCTTCATTAAAAACTCAAAGAGATAGAAAAACATAAAACACAAAATACAGTTAAAACACTTTAAAAGATAATTTTTTTTAATTAAAATTAGAGTTTCTACGCAAAAACAAACAATTCGGCCAGCGGGCAAGAAGGCACATTTTCCGATACACAAAACTAAAAGTTTTCTTTTGGTCCCACTTGACAAAAAGACACTGAATTGGCGCAGAAACTGAGTTAATTCACTATTCTGCTAAGTTTCAGATGTAAACAAATATGGCTGCTGTGGTAAACAAGTACTTAAACAACTTTTAAACTGTTGTTAATTCTGCAGCTATTGCATACATATTACCTAAAGGCATAAAAACCTTAACCGGAAGATAAGACTAACATAATTCAATCATTTTTAAAGCAAAAAATGCAAAATTTAATGACCATATTAAAAAAACGGAGCTCACTGAACCGTGTAACAGAGTGTGTATATATATAGAGAGAGAGAGAGAGTACAAACACAATTATCCGAACTCCGACTATCCGAATCGCTTTCAGAATTTCTCAGAATCAACTGAAGAAGAAAAGGAAATGAGGAAAAGGAAAAAGAAGCTAAAGAAAAGGAAATGTGAGAGACAGAAGAAGATGAGGATAGCGTGTCACTTGAGGAACATTCTTTTGAAAATTACCTTAATAATGAAGTTGAAGTAGACACAGGACCATCATCTAATGAAG